GAAAGAATCTGAAAGGAGCAAAAAAACAGCTGAAAAAAACAGCTGGAAAAAAGTTTAAATTTGCAGAAAGAAGCTGAAAGAAGCCGAAAGAAGCTGAAGCAGAACAAAATGTTAAAGGAGCAATAAAAGGTTATAAACAGAGCTAAAGATATGAAGGATGTAAAATGAGCTCAATTCATTTTCTTTGAGAGAAAAATGTCAGAAAAGGCTAAATATTTCAAGAAGCTAAAGTTGCACCAATACCAAAAGTCACAGCAGGATTGTCCAGAACGAGCCGAACGTTCTGTTTGTTGAACAGCTTAAAAACTGGAGGATGAGAATTGTGCTGAAAAACGTACAGAACAGATAAAGTAACTGCCAGGAATAATAAATATTACCAGGATCACAATTGTCTGAATTCTTAATAAACATTCACACTAAAACTGAAAATGGTTGTTAATTAGTCAAAGTCAAAACATCCAGAGTCAAGTTCACATGAAAACTCTTGTTCACATCTTGAGCTGAGAACCGTTTCCAGTTCTGTTACACACCGGGACGTCCGGCTCCTCGTACAGTTTTATGCAAATGTTCCTCCATTTATTCAAAAATTAAATCAGGAACACAATGGGCAACAGTTAAAGCTGCAAGATGGTGATTTTACATCGCATTCATTTAACAGACATTTTCATTTAAAGCAAATTAGGAATAAAGAACCCACTGGGGTGCGATGTGGTGTTCAAGCACTTTTGAAAAAATAAACTGAAATGTTAGCTGGGAAAGTTTTCGACTAAAAAGGCAACTACTCTGTCCCCCTAGGTAACGCCACAAGGAACACTATTTTGTTCTATTAAGCGTTAAGAGTTGCTGGAATACCACTACTTTAACTTTTCTCTTGTAATAATAAATACAGCACAAACTTCAATCCTCTATTAAATGTAATTTGTCATTTTAAGAAGACCAGACAGAAAAAAGGCTTCAGTTAGCAGCCAAGTCCTGTGATGGCACAAAGAGGCAAGTACTTGAAATATAAAGTACTCTTTGACAGTTGTAAAATCTTTGCTAAAGTAAAATGGAGTGTGTTTGCTGTCGGTGTGTTGAGGTGTTGTAACAACTCTCGTATCGGTTTTTACAAAACCAGGGTCAAACTAAATCTACTGTAGGTACAGTCCCTCGTATTTTATGTTATGTAGATATATAGAGATGTATATTTAGAATGTTGCTTCAGAACGGAAAACCTGTGCAACCTCCTGTTCTTCCATAAACGTTTGTTCAGGGAATTGTTCACTAAAGATATTTAAAGAATCACTGAACCTCTTTCCTTTAGAGAAGTTACCGCTCTTTGTGGTATCTCACTGAGCGATACTGTTGGAAGGAAAGTTGGTGGATCAAGTCCCTCGAAATTCAAAGAAAAGCATGAATTTTCATCTGCAGTCTCACTGATTTCTGACCGACTGCAACAATGTATTTATACAGGTTAGTCTCGCTGAGCCTCGAGGACTCACTTACACACACCACAGAGACATGTGGCCACTTTCTGAGCAGCCGGTGTTAGAAGCAAACCTGCACTCTGGGCTTGTTGCTCACCTCAGCTGGAGTCGACTTTTAAACTAAGACTTGAACCAAGTTTCAATAGTTATGATCAGTGTGTTTTTAGACCAGAACATTGTTCTCGTATGTTTTCAGTCCGAGGGGACCTCTCACGGTTGAGTTAGGGTTAGTATCAGAGTCAGAGTTGCTTATGTGGTGGAACGAGATCATGTACGCAGGGTCCCAGTTACGTCCAACAATAAAATGTAAAATAAAGACAACAAGATCTAACATGTGGACTAAGAACAACAACTAAAAATACACCAAGCACTAATAGCATAAAAACAATAAAAACAAAAACATTACGACGAACAGCAGCACGAACATGAGTCTGTGTGAGCAGACGAGCATGCATGAACACAGCAACGTGAAACAGATCAGCAGCAACAGGAAACAGATCAGCAGCAACAGGAAACAGATCAGCAGCAACAGGAAACAGATCAGCAGCAACATGATGTGATTTTTCACAGTGATTATTCTGGTTAGAGATTCATGAGTCCAACAGCTTCAGGGTAGAAGCTGTTCCTCAGTCTAGTGGTTCTACACTTAATGCTCCTCAACCTCCTTCCTGAAGGGAGTGGGGCAAAAAGTGTGTGTGCTGGGTGAGTGTGGTCCTTCATGATGCAGGTGGCCCTCTTCCTGCATCTGGAGGTGTAGATGTCTGTGATGGTGGGGAGGCTGATTCCAACAGATTTCTGTGCAGCCTTCACCACTCTCTGCAAAGCTTTTCTTTCTGCAGCTGTGCAGCCTCCATGCCACACGTTGATGCTGGAGCACAGGATGCTCTCCACTGCACACCTGTAGAAGGAGGTGAGGACTGAGCTTCCAGACCAGCTCGCCTCAGCCGTCTGAGGAAGTAGAGTCTCTGATGAGCTTTCTTCATCAGGCTGGTGGTGTTGTTGCTCCAGCTGAGGTTGTTGTTCAGGTGCACACCCAAGTACTTGTAGCTGGAGACCACTTCCACCGCAGATCCTCCTTAGTGAAGAAGGGGGTAGGTGTGTTTGTTGTTGCATGACGAGTATGTAGAGACGCCATTTAATGACAGTAGCGATGACCATGATGTGTTCTATAAGGAGCATTTGTAAAAATCCAGTAGCAGAGTGATAAATTGTGTCCAGCTTACGAAGGGCACCTTTAAGGATTTGAGAGAACCCCACCCCTCACCCCTCAAATGAGGCCACAAAATGCAGTTTGATAAGATAAGATATAGAGATAAGGACTTTATTGATCCCACAACACTAACCCTAACCTGCGAACTAATTGTAACCCAGTGAGATGCAAATGTCAGATTCTCCAGTTCATTTAACCCAACTAGGATCCAGTAAAAGAAATACACCGACTCAGCCCTGACCGTCTCTGAAGGGATTTTAGTCGTAAGACAAAATGACCTGTTAATGCTTAATAGATCGTCAGTAGACTAAAAACTAAGATGCACAACTTAAACTCCAGTTTGTAATCTTTCTTGATAAAACCTGTTACTGTTCTTGAGTTTGCAGTTACTGATTGTTTGATTTACTTGACCAAAAAAAAATAAAAAATCTGCCTTAAAAGGTTTTCTGGCAAACAGCCCTTGCCTAAAAGAACAGCCTTCTAATGTATCCTTCTTTCCGAGTCTCTTCCGGCATGTGAGAGGAGCAGCAGCGCATTACTGCAGCCACAGACAGGTCCGGGCTGTTAGCATAAGTCAAATTACTTTAATAAGCTATAATGGGCAGATAAGCTCAGGTTGCAGTGAACGGCTCACTGAGAGGAGGAGAGAGAAGCATCTGCAGCCACAGGAAACAGTAAATTATGGTTTCTGCAGGTCCAACACTATATCATTTCATTAAAATGGTGCATCTGCTCAGAAACAACAGTAATATTTCAGAGTGATACCAGCTCGGTATCAAACATCTGACACCAAAGTCTGCCTGCACTCACGTGTCGTACATTTGTTGCCACTTAAAACGGTTGCCAAAAAATAGATGAAGTACCTGAAATGAAGCAGTGTAGGTGCTACTGTGGCCAAACTAAAAAAAAAATCATGTTTTATTCTTCATTCTTTTTTATTGAACCTAAACGTTTCAAAGAGAATCAGGAGAATTTATCAGATTTATGTTGAATATTTAGGAGGCAATGCTCTTTTGCAAAGAAATACATTTTTCAAGAATGGAAAACATAATCGTAAACTGCATTCTGGCATCTGGTGCTCACAATGTTAGCATAAAAAACAATCCCTGGCATTTGTTAAGCATGAGTTAATAATGTCAAATACAAGCTACACGAACACAAACCTAAAGAAAATGCAGTAAATCACAAGGCTTGTGCACAAATTTAAACTAGTACAAACACTGATTTATTTGGAATATATTAAGGATGCACGATATTATCGGCACGGTATCGGTATCGGCCGATAGTAACGTTAAATTGCAATATCGGACATCGGCCATTCCATTAAAATAACTCGACTTGTTGCGTGAGTTTTACCACAGACATTTGGACGTTGTGTTAGCCTCGTTAGCATGATTAGTGTTACGGCACAATGGATAGACAAAAACTTTGAACTTAAAACATCTGTCCTTCATGCACAGGAGTGCAGAGGATCCCACACTGCAGCTATAGGAACCTGGAAGAAGCCTCCACAGGTGAGACCGCATAGCAGGTGACTAATGCTAATAAATAACATTTAACACTTTTCATTTAATATAAGTTAAAGTGCTATGAATATCATATGGCTGTTACAGAATATATGTCATCAGCTCTTACAGATGTTGCACAATTATTGTAGAAAATAAGCCTAAATAAGAGAGAGGGCTATGTTCTGATAAAGGAAAGTATATAAAATAGTGGTGTCGGCATCGGTTATCGGCCAATTTGTTTTAACATATCGGCCAAAAATCCAATATTGTGCATCCCTAGAATATATGTTTACTGTATTTTTAAAATTACACTTTAAATTAGTAATCAGTTAGCTACAGCTCTATAATAAAGGCTAAAACTTCTCCTGAGCATCACTTTGGGCCAGAATGTAACAAAAACAACTGCCTGGTAAAACTGTTATTTATGACAGGTAACATGTAAAAGGTTTCCTCACCCTCCCTAGAAACAAACAAAAACTGATTTTAAACAAAAATAATCAAATGTACATATTACTACATACATATTAAACTTGTGCAACTTCAACTCTCATATTTTTGTTGTAATCCACTAAAATCTGTCTGTTTATGAAATTAAGATGTTTTAACTTTAACTTAAGAAGTTCATTATGTGCAGTCACAGGAGTGCATTAAAGAAACAACATTTATAGAAGTTAGTTTAACAAATCATTGTTAAAATAGTAAAAATTGAGTTTCTTTAGCTCTTTTGGTTAGCAACAGAAAGGTTCAGATTTTCAGAATGGTGACGTCATCATTAGCCCACTTTAACCAGTTTCAACTTGAATCAATCGAACTCACCGTTGCATGTCGGCACAACCTTCCAGCTGAATTATTGATGAAGTTTGCTTTTTGGATGAAAAACAATTAATCCACAGAAAGGAGGAATTTATCTGGAACATGTGCGGATGTTTAATTTTGCGTTTACTGTCAATCAATCAACTAATCAACTAATCAACAGGTGAGATTTAAGTGAAGGTTTGAAGCTCAACGTGCTGCCCCCTGCTGGTGGGAGGTGGAACTGCACAAACAAATGCAGAATATTCACATTTTTTTATGAACCAAACGCAAAACCAACACTGTGTTATATTATTTAAAAAATGCAATAAAGTGCTAAAGCAATGTGTTAATGCTTTAGCACTAAAATAGCCTTTTATAAGTTATATTTATTGTCTATGCTGCTATATATTCTGTTTGTGTGGTTAAAGAAAATTCCATAACCACTGGAAAAATTTAGATGAAACCTTCAGAAAATAATTTTTAGATGCGCGTGTTACATTTGGGGTCATCCTAGATTGAGATGTCTTCCACAGCTAATTGACAAAAATGGCTATAATAACTCACTCCATTTGACAGATTTTGAGCTCAAATTTGTTGCAGTAGTAGCTGATAGTCATCCACAAAACATACTCTAAATGTGACGCCTTACAATCAGGCACGTTTTTGAAGTTGTGTTCAGACATCAACTTTGCAGCTTTTCATTATAAAATGACCATACCTTAAAACTCTTGCATGAAAGATTGACTCAGTCGTCCATAATTCTGTTTTTTTTTTTTTTTATATTTACCTATCAGAATTTACGAGTTTGCACATTGCAGACCTAAAATCTAAACAAGCAGCCTCTCTTCTTACTGTAAACCTTTTAAAGCTCCCGTCACGGTTCCATCGTAAGAAAAAACGTCTATCTTCCCTCGTCAAAATGAAGGCCACCTGCACAGCTGAGAAACAGGATTGCAGCAGAACGGGGCCTGAACGAGCCCAGTTCGCTCGGTAAACCACTGAGTCCTCAGTTATTTAAATTGCCACGGAGGTCAGTGGAGGGGAACTTCAGTTAGCAGATAAACTGTTACCCCACAAACACACATCTTTGTCCACCCGGTGGCTTAGCCGACACATCCCCTGACCTCCTGTGGGCAGATCCTTTTAAGCGAGCTCAGCTGTATTTCTGTGCATGGATCAATTTAACTGGAGTGCTCAGCTTGTTGCAGAGCTGTATGGAAAGACGCTGGAGCATATGTTGTGTGTGCAGCCCAAACATCTTGAATTAGCATGTCTTCTTTGGCAGAGCTATAATGAACGCTCTTATACAGACTTTTATTCATACATCCCTGGAAGCACCGTACGCTGATAAAAGACTCGCTCGACTTCAAAGCACATCCAGAACCACAGGAAATACTCTTTCCTCAAGGATACTGCCTCTGTTTGGTCCTCGCATTTCCATGAAAATCGGTGAAAAGGCTGTGCCAATCTCAGACGGAGGGATAATTCAGAACGTCACGCTTACTAAAAGAGCATCTCATAATGGTCCGGCATGGTGTCTGTGAATCGCTTTCACAGATTTCTCACAAACCGTGACTGCTTTGTTTTATTTTTTATTTTCTGTCATGCATTAAATAAGCACTATCTTCCTCTGTGGTCTACAGTTTTAAAATGTGCACAACTACTAAACGTTTTCAGGAGAACATACTGGTTTGCATGAGATGGTGGAAATATATTTTCTTCAGTTTTCTGGAGGCTCCGCAGGGGGAAATCTCCAACAACTCACACAGACCGTAGTCCATTTCTTTCTGCAGGAGCTGGAGTCAGCGAGTCAGTTAATAAATGGTAAAGTGGGTTCATAAAAAGGGGCAACGTTCGCCTTAAGGTTAGTGGAGTTGGCCGGTGAATGAGACGTTTTATGCTTTATGTGTATTCTCAAGGCTGAGTAAAAGAAACGGAGTGTTTGAAGTACAGAGGCGAAAACGTTCCATCCTGCAGAAAATACTGCTGCGATTCTCCACGGGGCAAAGTACTAATCCACAAATACTACTGAGACACCTTAAACTGTGCAGTAATTTATATTAAAAAAAGAACACCTTTATACAAAGATGACCTTTACTGCAGAAGCAGGAGGTGGAGACTGTGTCCGTATTATGTTTTAGTTCAAACAGCTCATATTTCTGAACACAGACATAAACGTGCTCTATAAGGTAAGCAGCATCAGCTCCAAATCAGAAAATAAAAATAAGAGTTTTAAAAGCTTTGGAATAATTTTCGGCATGTCTTTTCTCAACACAAGAATTCAGCATTTATCATCTGCAACGATCAGACTGTACCTGAATGGTGCAAATCAACATAAAAAAAAAAACTAACAGAAGAATTTTATTTTCAGTTAAAAAGCTGTCAGAATGCTGAATTTTTGTTTTAAAAAAATAAAAAGCTGAAATGGAGTTATTAGGTCAAGTCAACTTTATTTATAGAGCACATTTAAAACAGAACCTGTTATCAAAGTGCTTAACAACAACAATCAATGAGAGTTAAAGCTAAAAAGAACCAAGAATACTTTCTAAATCTAAACACAGCTAGATGAAAACTAAAAGCTGCTAAATCCCAGCTAAAACTGAAAGTAGCAAAAGGCTACGTAGAAGTTAACATCAGCAAAAGGTTAGCTGAAGGCTAAAATTAGCAAAAAGCTAGCCTAAAGCTCTTGAAGAGCGATACAGAACCCTGACTTAAAGAACTGTTCTGGTTATTCTGACACATTTTAGTACAACAAAGCATCTCTTTAAACTAAATTACTTTTTTTTTGTTTGTTTAAATGACAGCCTTAATTGTTTGTGTTGTAAACGCAGACCCTGATAAACCTCATTAAATTCTGCAAAACTTTAGCTACAAGCTACAATTGGCAAAGAGGTGACTAAAAGTAGCTAAAGGCTTTTTAAAATAAACTAGGTTCACGCCCCGGCCCCGACAACATCAAAAATTGTGGGTGGGGTAGGTGAAACACCCACACTTGCCCCCACCCTCATTCGCCCCACTCTGGGCCCATGAGCAAGGCCCTTAACCCCCACCACGTGCTCCCTAAAAAAAACCCAAAAAAAACAACAAAAAAAAAACAGGTCTCTCTTGAAAATGAGTTCTCGTGGCTCAATGAGACTAACCTGGATAAATAAAGGCTAAATGAAAAAAAATAAATAAATAAAAGAGACAAAGGATAAATTTGTCCTGATCTGGTGGTTAATGTTGAACCCAAAGTGCAGTCAGATCACGGAGACTAGGAAATAAAATAAGAATTAATTAATGATAACAAAACAGAAGCATTCTGCTAAGAGACACAAAGGGAGGACCGAACATGAGGCCAAACATGATGATGTCCCGACACAACCGAACAGACAATGACAAACATCTGGGGAAGACGATCAGAAACAGCTGGGAGCAGCAGGAGCTGAGAGAGACCTCAAGGAGGAGACACACCAGGGAACACAAATCCTCACAAAATGGAATCCCCTTGCCTCAGTCAGAACCAGTCACAGCTGCACTTTGGGTCGGAATAGATTCGCTAGTCTAAAACACGACTTAATCAGTTAATAAATAGCTTTTTCTTTCTCGTTTCAAATTGTTTCTGAACTGTTCGTGGTTTGCTGGAGCCTCGTTTCTCTACCGCGGTGAACTTAGTTTTACGTTGGACGTTGGAGCTCTGTGGCTTCAGCGGTGTGTTCGTCTCGTTCCATCCGAAGCAGGCGGTCTGATTTCGGTCAGCTGAGCTCAGTCTGCCCCTCCTCTCAGACGTAATGGTTCACTTAGGGACCGTCAACAAATTACCGAACCAAACTCTTCAGAAACAAAAGTTAATATGTTTTGCATCATTTGACCCACTGACACTAAACTAATGTTAAACTGCTCTACTAGACCTGACACACAACACACCATCATTTATTTCTCATTTTAAAAACATTTTCTAATTAGTTATGAAGTGGAAAAAAAATGAACAAATAAATCATGTAAAATTAGAAAAAATGCTTTAAAATGATAAATAACTGAGGGTGCTCGTCCGTCTACTAAAGTAATTTAACACAAGTTTTGTGTCAGTGGGTCACATGACATGAAAATTATTGTGCAAAAACCACTGAATGTCTGATTTTATGTGGCTTTGAAAATTTATAAAAGCTGATAAATGCATTCAAAAACAAACAAAGTTGCAGTATGTAACTTTTATTAAAACTATTTTTATAAAAGTTACATATGTTTTTTTTTTAAATATTTGTTAAAACTATGTCGTGACAGTTTAGTATAAAACAGATAATCTGTGAAAAGGTTGAGCTCCAAGACTTGAGGTCTTGGTCTCGACTTGGTCTCGGACCCCAAAAGACTTGGTCTTGTCTCGGTCCCGGTACACTCTGGTCTTGGTCTTGACTTGGTCTCGGGTTAGGTGGTCTGGACTACAACACTGGCTAACATTATGTAAAAGATCCAAAAGATTAGGCAACAAAAAGGTGGCCAAAAGTAGCAAAAGTCTTTTTTAATAAATGGAAGACTAGTTAAAAGTTAAAGTAGCACATTTTTTCTTTCCACTGTCTCCTCTGTTCTTGCTCAGGATGGGAAACTGAGACAAAGTGAAGATGCAACACAATCTGCTGCTTCCTTATATACATGTGAATGCTTTTGTACAGAGACCTGAGATGAATTCTGCTGGGACTTGGAGTTATATCAATAAACTGAATTGAATTGATAAAGGTAGCCAAAAGCTAAAAGTAGCCAAAAGCTAAAAGTAGCCAAAGCCAAAGCTCATTTTTGTTGTCTTGGCAGCCATCTTGAAGCAGCATGTAGATGTAGAAATTCAGTGCCGTGCTGCCAGGGACGACTTGTCCGTTAAACCTTCTGGATCACGCTGTTCCATTTTTCTTCTTTGACCTGGTGCTGATGAAGTTTCTGTGCCGAAGCGCCGTTTCATCTGCTCAGACGCAGAGACGGCCGCCGCTCATGAAAACTGCCCCGTCACTTTGTTTATTTCCAGCTGCTGCAGCAGCTGGACACACAAAGTGCATCACTTCCTGTTTGTCTGAGAAGTCGCTCCTGGAAGAAAATGACTATAAAACCTGAGCATAGAG